TAGATATAGAAAAATTTGGACAACTGCGTTCAATTTGCAGCTGTTGATCTTCTTAATATCGAGAAAGCGTGTAGGTCGAAATATTTTTGTTACTAAAAGAAATAAAGAAATTTTTGAAACCTTAAGAACTAAAAATTTTTGCATGAGTTTATAATACGTTCGTATTGCTGTGTTTCGTTGCTCCTTTGTTCAATGCGACTATTAAATGTTTGCAATATCTCTATATCTGAAATGAATTTCTCAACTCCACCGTCACAAACACTATAATATATTAATACAAAAGTTAAACAAGGTCTTTAAGATAATCAACTCTTGCTATCAAATGATACATTGGATAAATCCACAGATTCTTATAAATTCATTCGATTTTTTTTTTTTTTTGATTCTCGCTCCAATCGATCGATAGTGTATAATAATACCTGAAAAAAAATACAATCCTATTAAAAAGTATCCCTATATTGTTTATCACATTTATATTTATCAAAATAACTCAAATTTCATCGTTCAAAATATTCCAAGGATATACACTGTGCAAAATGGTGTTTTACCATGAGAAGAGAGGCACCGATAACTGCAAATAAAATTAATCAGAATCCGATAAATCCTTAAACGACGCTATTCAGCGATTTACGATTATCACGGTGATATTGCGATCGCCTTACGAGGCACGATCGTGAAAGTGGTGTGGTGGCGTGGACGTCAGTAGATCGTTCGTTTGCGATAAGCAAAATGCACGAGATCAGAGACTTGTGTTTTCATCTGAACTCGATTGCGAAACTGCGAATGACACACAATCCGGACAGCCTTGGGAGCAGCCTTGCCCACGGCTAATGCAACAACGCTCGTTCGTGATCTGTTGTGAATTACACTCGATGACGCCGGTGAAAGTTGTTCCCCAGTGATCGTCGACTATCGCGAGCGATCGGTTTCACGATATCGCGCATGTATCAGGAAAAATTTCACTCGACATTTAGATTTCGTGCCAGAAGGAAAGAAAAAAAAATTGTATTTCCTTTTTCTTTTTTTTTTTTTTTTTTTTTTTTTTTTATCGTTTCAGTTGCGAGGATATTGGAATGCTGAATAAATTCGAAACGGCCTCGTTTCATGGCGCGTCATCGTCGTTCGAGCTAGATTGAAACGTGTCGATCGTTTGCAGTTGAAACTCGACCTATTAAACTTCTAATTGTAGCCGTGGCAACAGCGGATCTTTATTGCTTCGTGTTTGGAGGAATTAATTCAAGTTTACGTTAGGTTGATTTGATTCGTTAAGTTTCAAGGGGTCCTACGATGTTCCTACTTACGAATCTGACCGCGTAAAAGGTTACTACAAAGCGGTGGCCATAATCAGCTCAATAGATCTCTATGGATAGCATTTAATCGTGGCAAGGACGATGCACGCATTGTCTGCAAATTAATTTCACGAAAGTAGTTTAATCCCCGTAAAAAGGCGTAAAGTCATAAACGTATGTGTGAGCGAACTCGTTCAGACTGTTGAAACATTTTACGAGAAAATATACTTCGATTCATATTTAAAGCTTTGTATGCTTAGAACGTGGTTATTTGAATATAGAAATATTGACCTGTAAATATTGATAATTTTTTATAAAATCTACTGGGCGTGAGAAACAAGGACAATATAAATATCCTCTCTTCGTCTTTCATAATTTTTCTACATACATAGATTGAGAAGGATGTTGATTAACGGAATAAAACATGTATGATTTCATTGAAAAAGTTGGAAGTGACTTTGAAACTTTCGAAATCTTGCTAGCTATAAAAAAATTATTACTACCATGCTGTAAAGCCCTATCTACACCAGAGTGACCCAAGTCAAAGACAACAGAGATATTCAAGAGTTCCTTCTTATTGAACCAGCCTGCGTACTGAAATAACTCAAGCTGAAATATTCAATAAAAAGGAAGAAAAGAACATTGAGTGAAATCTGGCCGCTGCGTGTGCCGAGATATTCAACACACACGAATCCTATTTGAAGTTGAACTTTTCAATTAGATTCGAGTTGAAAGGTGCGCCAGCACCAATTTTCAAGTGATTTAGAAATTTCTAACTTCACTCTGTTGCTCTCGTTTCCCAAATTTCGTCTAGAAGATAAAACAATTGCGGCCATGTGAAGCTCGGGTGGTTCACAGTGGTTGAACGAAGGGAAATTTCGCTTGGTTGTTTTTCTTTCTCCCGCTGGTTGGAGCAAGTAGCGTCACCTTTTTTTCGGCGTCGCGGCGCCCCACGAACGTCGACCAGTGACGTATTTGGAGCAACAACTTGGTCGAATTGTCCGTGGAGCCACCGTCACTGCAGTGTCTGGCTATCTTTCACTGCTGATTTCGTTCCACGTTTCCACCGGCTTGCTTTCTTCCCCTCTGCCCTCCCCCCCCCCCTCCCTCCATCCCTCTCCGTTTCTTCTGCTTTCCCCGTTATCGATCTAACATGTTCTGCACCATAAGATGAAAACAATTATTCAGGAAATGAATTCTGCTTTTTGGTAAGGACAAAACATCGCCGTCGAAGAGTCGCGCGCATCATTTAGAACTGCAAATACATTAGAGAGACGTAGAAATATATTGCTTTTTCAATAGAAACATCTTGTA